AAAATAACTAATAATAAAACCTCGGTCAAACCTGTGGTCAAACGAAGATGAGAGTTGATAAGAGTTGGCAGTCAAGCTTTGTTACGGAGACATTTCAAGCTCTAGATTAAATAGAATACATGATAATGTTGGGAAAGCATTAAGAACAGCTAACCAAGGTCACGTGACTGCCAACTCTCATGCACTCTCAGCCTCGATTCATCTGGACCTAAGTTCACGAAACGCTCAGGCCTCACTGCACAACTTTACAAACCTTTGAACTGTTTAATCATATTGCGATGATTATTGATAGCTTCATTTACAATGTGATCTGGTTCATCCATTTTCCATCGCCATTCAGTACCAACTGGATTTGTATGATGTCTATAAACAACAGTACAATTATACATTGGAATGCTACTAATTTCCTGACGAAGGGACTTCGCTAGAAATGTTGAAGTTCCACTTGTATTTTTCTGGTAGTTATACATCCCTCTCATTCCGCAGATGCATTGATATGGAAATAACTTAAAACCAATTTAAACTGAACTAACTTTAATGATTGTGGTGATGACTAAGTTAATAGCTCCTCTATATCAGATCCAATAAGATTCTCGAAACAGATTCTTGGATATACAAGTTACATTACACTGTAGATTGACTGAATCTTCAGTTAAGTGCTTGTATATGTTTATGTAAATACCACAACTCGGTCACTAACCTGTTTAGCCTAGCCTTCCAACAACTCAAATCTATAGGGTCTGGGATATGCTATCCAATGGGATATTCTTAAAATCTAAGTTATAAGGAAGAAGAAACCGGAGTTCTCGAAGAAGACTTGTGGTGTTCACTGCTTGATATTAAGTTAAACTGTATGAACAACTCATCTTACACGGATATAGCGCGATGAGGCTAAATCATAATCAGATGATCAGACAACTGCATATATATTGCAAGAATCGAATCATGGTCACAGAGTTAAAAGGTATCCAGACACTAACCACTGTGGCAGCCACCACACTAGTACTCCCACACATGAAATTACAAACCTCCAACAAAAGACGCATTTGTTAGCACACGCCAAGCTTGGTGTACTCTCCATACAGCGATGACTTTCAATACCATAGAATGTATGTTTGTAACATCCGCCGCGACCTCGCAACATTGACTGCAAAATAATACGACCTACTTTAATTTATAGACTGAAGCTTTTTTCTTCTATATACAGGACGTATCAAAAGATCCAACTTTGCATGACAGGTTATCGCGTGTGTTAATTATTACGTTCAAAGATTTTCTTTTTTCGTCTTTATAAAGATCAGGCTCTTATTGAATCATTGCTATAAAAAGTGACCAAATACGATCTGATTTAAAGTGGTTGGTTGAAATTAAATTTTTCCACGTTTAGGATTGAAATGTTCTTCCAATGGACCTATTCCCTAATGAACAAAATTTTGATCTAGACAAATCTAGACAAAAATTTCATCACAGCTTGAAAGAGCATCACAAAATTAGTAATATTCCGAAGTTTCGTTGCGAAATGTTGTAAAATGCGGATAACATAGCCCTGCGAAGTTTGCCGTTTTTCAGTCATTTTGTATTACGCGCGGGAAATTGACCTTTTTCAGAAAGCGGTACCATTTCCCGCGCGTATAATAATACAAAATGACTGAAAAACGGCAAACTTCGAAGGACTATATTATCCGCATTTTACAACATTTCGCAACCAAACTTCGGAATATTACTAATTTTGTGATGCTAGTCTAGACTTGTCTAGATCAAAATTTTGTTCATTAGGGAATAAGGTCCATTATCTTCCAATTTTATTGCCCATTTGGGAATCGTATGGCATTACGAGTTCAGACTGCAAACTTCTAGTTCTGTAAAATGTTTTAACCACTCAATTTTGCTGCAAAATCACGAGTGGCGACTTACAATAGCTTTACATGCAATTCCCAACGGTGGAAAAATGCCATATCGACCAGCATCAGTTGAAATCGGATCGTATATTTAGCTATTTTAGATCGCAATGATACAAGAAAGGTAGCATTCGACAGCTAAAAGTCTGATCTTCATTGGTATGAAAAAAGTAAATGGATAAACGTAATATGGATGCTATGCACGATACCATTGTTAATGCGTCAAATATTACCTTGGTCCATCGGCACAGTTTTACCCCAGAGTGAGACCCGACAAGCTTGTAGCCTGCAACAATGTCAAACATAAATATTTTTATTTACAAGAGAAACTGAAATATACGAAAAAAATGAAAACAAAGCAATATTATACAGTACAGGAAGACGGCTGTACCTTGTTTTGTTAAAGCTTTTCTAAGTAGTGGAGTGATCATCTCTTTTGGTTCTTGAATAATTCTATCAGTTTTTGCTTTGTTCATTTTGCCAACCATAGTTCCCAGGTCCTCGACGTCCATGACATCAGCACGTCCATCCTCATCATCATGTTCCCCCTCACTACTGCTTTCATAAAGTTCTTCCTCGACCTATGTTAGAAAAGAGGGTTTAAAATAGGTCTCCCACTGTTTGTAAAGGCTTCAAGTAAGGTAATAAGGCTCGGAGCCATCATTGGGCCTCGTAGGCTTGTAGGTACCCACAAAGACTTGTAGGTGCTCACAAAGGCTTGTACTGTACGTGTTCGCAAAGACTTGTAGGTGTTCGCAAAGGCGGTATTATTGTAACTATTGACCACTGTAAGTCATAAAATCAGGCCTTAAAATATCGGTCGGTCACGGACATTGTCCGACCCATTCATGAAATTGTCCGACGTAGAAAAGAAACCATCGGACATTCTGTCCGACCTAAGTGAAACTGAGGTTTATTGTTTGTCCGACCCGAGTGTATTGGTGTCCGACCGAACTGTAGCTTTGTCCGACGTAAATCAAAATGTACCTATATAGCCCAAGAGGCCAGGGACTAGAGGCAGACTTGTATGTTAAATGGAAAATCAGAGTACTATTGCATAAAAGGTCAACTGGAAATGTTGTTTTAACGTAGTCGAGCGCGGGGCGGCGAGCGAAATGGTAAAGTGGAAAACGGGCTTAAGTTGTCGAAGTCTTTTTGATACTGCTGTTCTGGCAAGCAAGTTAATTTTGGCTTGGAAATAAGTATGAAAGAAACAAATTATTTAATATCTTTACAACATTTACCGTTTATTCATTTGTGTCATTCAGACTTATTTCCGAGTAAAAAATGAACTAAAGGTCGTCGGACATATGCCCGACCCAAACTCAACGTCACTGGACATTTTGTCAGACGGCCCTGGAAAAGATATTTTAAGGCCTGCATAAAAAATCTAAATTCTTCTTACTTGTGTTTCATCAACGCTATTCTTGCACTCACAAGTGCTCTTATCTGAATTTAACTTGCAACAATCTTCGTTCTCGCGAGTTGCCCTTGTTTTGAGATACGTCATGAAAACGTCCATCCAAGCATTAAAATCCTCTTCTTTGCCTGAGAAATAAGACACAATGGTCCTTACAATATCAGTAGCAACTTTAACAAGATTTAACACAAATTAACATTTCCTGATGCAATTAATTTTCAAGAGTTTTAAAACAAACAAAATAGAACTGCACTTCAGCATTTAAAATTCTTACCGCCATTTTTACTTTTTGCAACATTTTCATCAGAAACAGCCAGTGGAAGAATCCTCGTGGCACTCAGATCATGTAACCATTTATCAACGTTACTGCTCACCTAATTAACATTAAGACCCCGTTCACATGATGCCGGTATGAAAAAATGTGAAACCGTAACGCTAACCGTAAGAGTTTGAAAACGGTATGCAAACCGTAAGAGTTTGAAAACGGAACGAAATTCTACTGTCAGAGTGCCGTGTGAACGCCCTAACCGTAAGAATTTCATTACGGTTATATGCAAAATGAAATTAACAAAACTGCAAAAGTTGTTGTTGGATATTTTATTCTGTCTATTTTAACTGATTTGTGCAGCATATTGTCAAAGCGGAATATAATCTGCCGGTATCGTGTGAACAGTTGAAACCGTGATGATTTTCTGCCGGCAGAATTCCATGCCGGGCGGGGTCTAAATCATAAAGTGAGATTTTGTTGCAAATGTCCTTAAATTGACATTGGTGGAAGATGAATGATCCGTCTCGATCAATTTGGAGAAATAAAAGATAGTTCATCTAATCATTTGTCAATAATGGCAAACAGACGTATTATCCACCAAGACAGACAATCTCTGAATATATTACGTATAGTTCGTGCTGACGGATGATCTAACAAGCTTTGTATCCTTCAAGTAGGAACCAACGAAAGCTTGTTATTTGGGCACTACCTAGGCACTAATCATTGGAGTATCATGCAGTTAAGGTCGTTTTCCAATAGGCGGAATTTTCCGCGCGGAGCGGAACTTCTCTTTGTCTTGTGACTTCTCGGTTGGAACAAATTAGAAATACAAAGAGAATTTCCGCACCGCGCGGAAAATAGTGGAAAACGGTCTTAAGGTAGGACTAAAAATCTACACCCTGACATTTCAAGTTATGAATTTGGAACTAACGCACTAAATTAACCATTTTTATACTGTGGAGAAAGCATTGTTCTATGGCTCACTAAGTTCTACAACGACTGAAGCACTCCTGTCACACGATACTTACAGTATTAAAATGATCCTCATACAGAGAATTCCCAAGGCCCAGCACACAATAATTTAGACCAAGTAGTAAAGATTTTTGAACTCGAAAATCAACAGCAGTCTCTCTGAGCCATTTGTAAAACCAGCCAGTGCCTTCGGTGGGTTGACCATCAGTATATGTTGCCAGGATAAATATGCACAAGGTTGAGGGGTTGATCTGTCGATTAATATTATTAATACTATTATTATCATTTTAATGATGAAACACTTTGCTAATATTACATTACTAATATTATTAAATTAATATTTTTTAAAATGTCATTAATTTTATTAAGATTATTTTAAAATTTTATTAATATTATAATTATTAAATTTATTAATATTATAAATACTATTATTTATCAATATAATTAATTATATTTTATATTATTAATTTTACTAATATTATCATTAATATTAATTATTATTTAAAATACATTTCCTAGAATTTTTCAATCTCAATTCTTCACAATATTCCTAAATATTTAACATGCTCTGCAACCATTATTTGGCCCCCCCTCTGGGAAAATTGGGCCCCCCTTTCTTGATTGCGGGGTTACACCCCTACTAACACCCCCTACCCCCACAGTCTACCCCCATGAGCACGATAGTCTTACAATATTTTACTCTGCTGAATGTGGGATGCCAGTGGATTAATGGTTTAGTTATGAAGACACAAAACATACTGTAACCTCATTTGCTAAAGAATCATCAGGATCATAATGCTTTAAATCAATCACTTTTGAATTCAGTTCTAACTCTTGATTTAATCTCTTCTGCAATATGCCAGCAAAATACTAAAAGAAAAAACAGATACACTTATGTGTGCGTGCTACCCAAAATCTAATAGGTACTGTAGAACTTCTCTTCTGAATTCAGAACAGTACACAAATTGGTGAAATTTTGCAAATTTGTGCACATTTCCAAAAATGTTCAGTCCTGTTTGAATTTTGTAATGTGCCCAAATGCATTGAATTTATTATTTTACTTGACTGTCTAATGCTACATGATTTTACTCATCAAGGGGAGGATCAATGGATATAAGCCTTACATCATTTTGAATGACATATTGTAAAGAAGATACTTTTATTGACCTGAGCAGTTCCTGTTTGTGTAGCAAAGAAAATTTTGACAGAATGTATCGTAGTTTGAGGTTTCTCATCAGTGTGGATATTCTTGATGTCATCAGCGTGTTCCTACAAGTCAATAAAACAAAGATAATAATTGTGCATATAGAAGCAATAACTAATTTGCAGGCCTGCCAAGGTGTTATGCATAAAATGAGGGCGATTACAATATTTGTGACGTTGCTGCTTCATGTTGGAAAAATAACAAATTAATGTCTGCACAAACAAATGCATTTTTTCCATAATTTTATTTACAACATATTTATTTCACAATTAGTCTACCCTATACATGAATTTCATGTTATATTACAATTTATTGAGCGAATGTATGTATTGAATTGTCCTTCTCTTGAAAATACCAAAAAGATGATGGAAAATATAAGCCTACTGATCTTTATAGGTGGATTACAACCAATCTTATGGGAATTAACCCTAAAGAGTTTATGTGGCAATGTACCCTGAGGCACCCTACTTTATTTTTTATTCTGTCTAATGCCAGATGATTTTACTCGTCAAAGGGGAGAGCGCTGCTGCTCAGATGCCAGACTGCATTTTCTGCACCACATGTGGAAGATCTTCCGCGCATATTTTTGACAGACACGCCCTTTGGCACCATTTTTGACAGACACACCCATTTTCTTCCGTGTGAAATTTGGAAAGAATTAAGTCTGGCTCATATGCATTAAAAGACAATAAAACATACGACAGCCATAGATTCTATGGTTGACATCATAAGAATTTTTTTTAATTTCCATTAATGGGTTTTTGAAAGATTTACCTATCAATGTTAAAACTGAACTCTTAGAGTGCAGTTTTTACATTAAAAATCCATTAATGGAAAGTTTTTCCCTATGTATGCGACCTGCGACCACCAACGTAGCCGCTGTGACAAAACGTACAATCAAGCTATACCTCATTTTCTGAAATTTTTGCAGCCATTTTTAAAGTCCACACCACACTACAGCAAGCAACGATGGCAGCAATCAATGTAACACTCAAAGTCTGCCACCAATTCTTCATAAACACAGACCACGAATCTTGCAACCCCAAAGTAGATACATATTGTCCATTGTTCATTTCATGCCCTAAAACAAAATGTTTTATATGGTTGCCACATGCGGTTGTCACCTTCAAACGTATTGAAAATATAAAACTTATAGAAGGTTGAAACTGGAACTCAAGCAAATAACTAAATGAGGCTAGAATTATGTTTCCATTCCGTGTATTTGAGGTCTAATGTATAGAATATAAAGTATATATTCTGTCTCGTTTAACTTACCATTTGCGGAAAACGCTGTCCCCAAAATCAAAATAAAAAGGTAAAATTTGTACATAAAACTACACAAATTCAACTCCTTGTGGGCGGCCATTTTGAAAGCCGCTAATGTCGAAATGCTGGGCCGTGTGAACTCAAACAGGGGGGAGACCACCTTGAAATTTGTATAAAATAAATAATATTCGAACTAAGTTGTTTCTTATTCTGCTGTAAAATTGTGGCAATTATATTTTATTTTGTGTATTATTGTGTAAGAATAAACTGTCGGATCCATTCTGGATTCATAAATGTGTATTTTTGCACAATATAATCAAATAAGCTTTCCTTTTCAAATTCTCGAAACGCAATGTTGACTCCCCCGGGACGAAAAGCAAAATAATTCAAAACACGTGTTCAAAACAAACTTGTATTTCCTGTATCATATAGTTTTTGAAAATAATATAAAAGCATGGTTCGTTTAAAATCAAGGTATAAATGTCTGTTTTGTACTGTTATAATTTTCACAAGAAAGCATTTTAACCCATTAGGTTGCAATAGACCATACTTTTTTACATTTACTCTGTCTATTCACCAGACAACTTTTTTGAGTGGCAACACTCTCCCCTTGCAAGTAAAATCGTCTGGTGTTTATAAACAGCGTAAACTAATAACGTAGGTTGCACTGCCACTTAAAGGGAAGGGTTAAAATGGGAATTTTAAGTGTCAGATGCTATTAAATGGTTAATATTTGTGTTTGACCTAGATATTTGTTAATGGAAATACGATTTGAAGATGGTTTAGTCGACCAGTCGCTGAGTTCAAGCACTGTATACCATGATATATTGCGATCAGTTGAAAATACATATGGTGACTATGGGTTTGGCTGTATCAAAATGTCATTTAAAGGTATCGTTTGAATATGACTGGAAAGTACATCACCTTGGGTTTTCATGATCGAGATGTTTGGCTAATTGACTTTAATCAATGTCCCACACGAAAACGAGGTTCTATAGCCAAAGTGACATACTTTCCGGAATGGTGTTTTGCAGGGTGAAAATGACATGCACCAATTGAGACATGCACTCCACAATCTCTTGCAAAATAAAACGTGCCATGATCATGAATTTGTAAGGCTTATCTCCCTTTCCCCCATCCAATGTTGCGATTTGAAGTCGAAATTGAAAAGGAAGGCCTGAAACAGTGCTAACAATCACTAACCAACATTGAGAAGGGTGCGGGAGCATGGAGTGTCTCGTTTATTTTGCATAGGATTGTAGCTAGGTTCCTTTAATCAAAAATGCTTAAATTGAGAAATAATTGGCTGTAATTTCTTTTAATTGACAGTGAAATATGTGAATCCATTTACTGGAGTTGTCTTTGTCAAGTGCAGCCGAGATTACTACCGTATGCTGTGGCATGCTGTCACGTTTTTGAAAGAAGTCAATGGAAGACAATGTTCGATGAATACTCTTCATTTGGCAGGTACTGAAAATTGCCAGAAGACAGTGAACACTGATATTTTCAGAATTTATTGAATTTACTACTTTGACAGAATATGAAAAGGGTCATTCCAGAAAACATCCATACCTCCCCCAGAGGGAAAAGTTACCCTCCCCCCCCACCTACATGGGTGTCCTAGTATGCTTACTATTATCAGAAACAAACTTTCCTTCTCCCCTTCTGGATGGCAGAAATCTCCTCCATGGGGGGAGTGTGGATCTTTTCTGGAATGACCCAATGTAGCCAGCTCCCCCAAGAAGAGCCGGCCACGCTGGCTAGACCCAATGTGGTGATGGAAATTCTATTCCATTTAAAAATACTTTCTTATTGACAAGTAAAATTTTGCAGATTAACAAAAAATTACAAAGTGGGGCACATAGTGTAGTCACTTAATGGGTTAATAAGTTAATTACATACTATAATTTCTTGCTTACTCTTAGGAACAATAAATTCCTGTCAAAGATTCCTTGTCAAACACAACAAAAAACAACTTCGAAAAATGTTGGCCCAGTGCAAAACACCAGGTAAGAATTAAATACCAAATATTTTGTTGACACATTAATGCCCTGGGACTGGTTGTTCTAAGGTGGATCGTCACTAACCGTGGTTAAAATTTAACCAGCTGTTTTGGTTTACCAGTATGTACTATGTATGTATGCACATGTTTATTTCAAAACTTCAGAAATTTAAAGTAAACTCCTTTTGATCCAGACAAGATTTCTGAAGATATATTTCAAAATTTATTGACAAGCTGTTGGGAAGTTTGCTTTAATTAAATTTTAGGTTAACTTCGGGTTAGCTTATTGGCTTTTGAACAACCGGCCCCTGGTGTTAGATAACCTGAGTAAGATAGTTAGGGCTATGCAAATCTCATGGCCTGCAAATTATCAATGTTTATATAATATTTTTCATTATCAGCTGAAAAGGGAAAGATTTCAAAGATGCTCAAACAATTGCCATCGGCAAAGTCTATGGAGGACGAAAAGAAAAAGAGACAAGGAGACTTAGCTTTGAAACATTTGACTGGTTGAAAGCATCAGTTCAAGTTTTGTTAGACAAACTTGGTTGCATGCAGTTGAGGAGAAAAAGTTGATTTATAACCAGCCAACAACATTTGGTAGCATTGGAAACAGTTTAGGATCTGCTTGTGATTGGGTTTGCAGCATCCTTCTTCATTTTTAACCATTTGTGTCAAATGTTTCGACAACCCTGGCTCTCAATTCTCCAATCTGTCATCTCCCTCCTCAATCTCTTTCAAATTAAGAACTTCCAGCGTGCCCTTCCCTCTCGTTTGTGCGGCCATTACCTCATTAATGACTCGGAAACAGCCAGGGTCTATCAGACAAACCTAAAGAACAGTGAATTGTAAAATATTATTCGAGTGTTTGACTAGTAAGAGATGTAATCATGTATTTTATTGAATTATAATTCTGTGACACTTACTATTTCTAAGTCACCTTCCCATTCCTCACTCTCAATGCTCGTAAAATTTGATCTTAGTTTTTCCAAAACCTGTTTGGCGTCTTTCTGTGGCAACGTTAATTTGATTCTCATTTGTGCTCTATCAATTGGCATTACATCTGCATCTTTTATCTGCCGAATGACTTCTAATGCCTGGAACATAGAGTTAGAAAGTCACTTACACAATAGACTTCAGTTGGGGCAATCACACTGTGTCTTGCGATCACGCCAAAACTTCAGGAATGCAAAACATCCCTATCTCTATTACGGCTAAAATGTTACATTACGTAATAGCTAATTTTATAAAAATTTACCAGACCAATCATGCAGATGTTGCAATTTTCAAATTGACGATTTCAGGATGTTAGGCATGCGTCATTCCAAAAACATTCATACATCCCCCACGGAGGAAATTGGAAGTTAATCCTCGTACACCTTTGGATGTCGTAATACACTATTATCAGAAACAAATTTTTCTCCCCTCCCCCTCTGGATGGCTGAAATTTCCTCCATGGGGGAAGTGTGGATCTTTTCTGGAAAAACCCACATTCCTGAATGTTTTGACACAAAAACATGACACCTATTTTTGGAGAGAGGAAGGATCCACAGTTTTGGTAACACCTGTAAGGGTTACCGAAATACATACACCCATAGTATCTGTACCTGTTGTTTGGTACTTCGTGTAGTGATAACTGAATAGTGAACATCCTTCATTGCTCTTTCTATAATGCCAACAGTATATGGTCTCTTCGTCTCTGGATTCACACATTTATCTGCGACTATCGTAGCAATGTCTCGAAACATCAACTCCAACTGATTGTTTCTCTCTTTCTCAGAAACTTGCAGTTCACCCTTGGCCAAGATCTAAAATTATAAAACACTGTCATTAAGAATGAAAAGTTGCATCAAAACTTTCTATCTCCACGTGAAATTTTGAGCTATTTAAATGAGTTATATACAATAAAATATCATAGATATTTAAATTTTCACCTCAAGACATATTTGTGTCTGATCATCTGTTCCAAATGCCCGAACCAAATCTTCTCTCTTGGCTACTTGCCCTTTTGAAACATTCATGAACACAGAATCTGTTTGCAAAACCTCATCCAAATCTTTCTCTCTAAAAGAATATTTGACAAATTCATGGATTCATTTTATAAACTCTGGCAGAAAAAATACATTAAGAATGAAAGTAAGGCACATTAGGTCGCATGGTCGAGAGACATGGACAGATAACCAATTGGTTCCCAATATTATTTCCATGAAATGTGTATAATCATCCATTAGGGTGCTAGGGATTGTCAACAAATAGATTTCGTCCCAGCTAGCAGATTTTTTACAATTGTTCCCAGCTCCCTCCATCACAGATTCCTAGTTACCCCTCCCCTTCCCACCTACACAGAACAGTTCAGTTTGACCAACACACAGGCATTCGTTACAGGGGTAATTAGGGTCAATGTTAGGGTAGAGATTGACACCGGATACCAAGTTTATATATATTGACATCACCTACAACTAACGCCCACATGAGGTAGTCATCCCCCACACACCCTTAATACTGTAGGGGCCGTTGACAAATACATATTTTCTTGCCGCTTTGTGGACTTGTTCAGAGTTCAGACTATTTTGGTCTAGTTTGCCCATGGTATAAACTTCCTGTAAAGAAAAAAACTCAAAACATAAAATATTTTAAAGCAACATTGCTTTTCTACCAGAGAAATAATGGTTTCTACTCACACTTTATTCCGCCACGACATAACTTTGTTTTTGTAGCACGCAATTTCAAACCTCTTTCCTTTGCGTTTCAATCGAACTACGGCCACGTTTGTAAGCTTAACTTGATTTGTAGGAGTAAAAATAGACATCTTTTAGTTTAAAACTGTTTTAAAACAGCTACGATCGAATTAAAAGTAAAATTTTAGACAAACTTTCATAAATATCTTTCATATATGGTGCAATAATTTTCTCTGAGAACAAAATGAAGTATCATACTTTTGTTTGTAAATGGACCTCTGACCGCAAAGAACTGCACTGCGCACAGAATGGCACTGATCGCTAAACATCACTGGAATCCTGTATTCATGTTCGAGATAATTACGTCATGAAACTTTTTTGACTTGTGAGCCAAAGTCCTAGGGACACCCGAGCTATCCTTGGAGAGGCAGGCAGGGTCACCCTGGCAGTAGGATACCCTGTTTACGAAACAGGGTTACTCTTGTAGGAGGGACAACTTTTGTCCATGTAAACAATTTGTCTCGGCCTCCATGGACAACTTTTCATTCCCTGATTTCCAGGCCTTCAAACAAATAACTGCATGTTTCAGGAGTCACAATCTCGTCCTTAGAGCCAGGAATACAGTGCCAGGGCTATGTTTCTCATATAAACGTGCGGTAAAGTTGTTTCTGGGGGGAACCCTGTCCCTAGTATCCGTGATCATATAAATAACGCTTTAGTTTTAATTAAACAGTTAGCAGTTTCCTCAAACATTTCTTACAAATCCTTCAGAATTTACTCATGCGAAATTCCGGAGTACCGTACTATAGCCAATATTAGGTCGTAGGTTCGATTCCCACTGTGGCCTGGCATATTTTTCAAGCTTCCCCGGTGTGGATATACACTCAGAGTAACATCACAAAGTCTTTATAAGTTGAAATAAGGGAGTGGTCATTATTTATGGGGAGGGGGGGGTTGGGAAATGGGGAAAATAAGGATTGAAAACTTTTTTGACCCCCCCTCCAGACTGAAGGCAAACTTTTTGTGCCTCCCCCCTCATAAAAGTAGAAACTTTTCTGACCCCCCCAGTGTGGATTGAAAAATTAACAGCAATGAAACAGGTGTGCGTTGCAGGTAAAGTTAGATATTAGGACAATCTGTTTAATCTAGCTCATGATGTTTTACCCTGGTGAATATGATTCAACCATATATGATTAAAAATATATATTATGTGTTACTACTTTGCAATGCAACATTTGTCCTACCATAACCCTAACCCATGACCCGTCTTCATACAGCGAAATGATTTGAACACAGGGTTTTTTTAAGAACTTGTCTGGGGGGTGGGCATCTACAAAAAGGGACCATACTATATTGAGTGTGGAGAGATGACAGATGGTTGTTGGTGACAAAAAGTTTGGTGTGGTATCGTATGTACTAGTAGGGGGGTCTGGGGGTATTCTCCCCCAGAAAATTTTTTTTTATTTTTCCACCCCTAGAATTGAAATGTGAGCATTTTCCTCTGAGCATTTTCTGAAACAGATTTTTGGATATACAGCGTTACATTGTGCGTTGATAGACCGAATCTGATCAGTTAAGTGTACTTGCATGGTATGTTTATGTAAATACCACAACTGGGTCACTCAGGAAGTAGAAAGCTTGTTAAACTTAGTGGGCTCAACGGTCGCTCGGTGCCACCATGGTTGGCGCCGAGCAGGGAAATTTTGAACATTTTGAGTCTCTAGATCGTTGGAAATAGCATTTTCAGAGTCTTCTTTTTTGCTATTTGTGATTATAGAAATCAAAAACTTTTATGACCCCTCCCCTTTCTCTGTGTTAAAACTTTTTTGACCCCCCCCTATTTATAAGGGTAAAACTTCATTTGCCCCCCCCCTCCCATTTCCCAACCCCCCTCCCCATAAATAATGACCACTCCCTAAAACATTAATCTTTACTTATTAACTTGTTACTGATAAGTTGTTTTCCTTTCTTTCTATTCATTTGTTCTTTCAAATTATGTAACCGTTTTTGTAATAGTAAACCATTATTTTGTAAATATATATACCCTGTAAATTCATTTAGATTGCTCTGAAGATGTTGTATTGTAAACAACGAAACGTTAGCTAATTAAATTTTTACTTTTATTATGTTTGGTTTTAAAGTTATTTGCTGGGCTTTGCTCTTTATCTTTAAACTAAGATTTCCGCCTGGTGTATCAATTGCCACAGTTTTAAGGTATATGCTCTGACGCACTACTTCATGTAAACCTTTCATATAGTGACTCGCATGAAATTTTTTTTATTTGCGCCTGGGGACGAGGCAGGTATATGCTAGTTTACCCTGGACTTGGCAAATGGCCAATACCAAACAACAAGCTATACCAATCATTTTAAACCTCACTAAAGGGTCCAACAAACCTGTGTTGTAACTCCTCCTCACTCTCAAACACACCATATTCCTTCAAAACATTTTTAATGTTCTCCGTCTGTTTTATATCCTAAAAAACAATGTACTTGACTTAGCCGTCTTAGCGCCAAAATTACAGCCAATATTTACACCATTTACATAACCAACAAACATACAACTTTCATTGTTATAAAAACACAGCTTTTGCCTTTAAAACTACCTCCGGTTTGGGTCCAGCAGTGCTAATTGCCGATGTTACACCAATAGGTTTATTTGCCGGCGTCGAATTGATTCTAAAATTATCATAAAAAACAAGTCAAAACCTGTATTACTCATTAGATCAACCAAACCGTTGCAAAACCGTAACTGACACTTACGTGGACATCATGGCATCAGAGTGGCATGTCGTAGTTTCCCTCGCTCTGTGCAAAGGTTTGTAAATTGAATACGAAAAAATTCTTGGAATTCGCGTTAGTGTTCATGGATTAGAGCCCAGGATCTGGCGTGAGCAGTTGAACTTTTTGCATAAATTGCGCTGCAATTCGACCTATAGCTATAATTGGCCATAAATTTTAAAACAATATTCGAACTACCTATAAATAGACTGAAATCTTCTTCGTCAGGTTTTTGTTCGAAACATTTTTTATTTTTTAATCTTTCGCAAGCAGTACAGACACAAATCATCTTAAGAGAGGATGTCCACAAAAATCAAACATAAGGCGGCCACGACGGAAAAATCGATTTTGCTCAAATTTTGCCCAGATATACCTTATTATATCGGAAAATGCACCATATATTTTTTTAGGTCAAATGCTTTTTTAACTTTGAGAAAATGCCGTTTTAACACGACCACCCTAAATCGCCATTTTGTCTGGGAAAATATGCGCTGATTTTATCGACAAATTTCACGACGACAACCGTTTCTAATCGATCTAAAACCCTAAAGATCTTGTTTTCGGTTATTCAAAGGACCGGGTACGTGAGTTACAGGAAATCTGAGTTACTTTTAAGAATAGAAATAATCGTGGTTTTGGAGCACACTATCTTACTTCATTTACGATACCCTCTTAACAAAACCGATTTTCACCATGCGATAAAGCTCCAAATCGATCATGCTTCTACTCGTTGGCTCTTTAATAAACAAGCTTTCAATTGACGTAAATACTTCTTTTGGCAAATGAATACGCGATAAACGACAGCGCGTTGAAATCGTCCGTTTTTGACGTTTTGCAAGTCAAACGCTGTTAATTTACATACCGTCGAAGTAAACAATTTAATCAAGTATTCTAAGTATTTTACCTTTTGAGAAGAAGATATATTCTTGAATGGAGACTTTTTGCCTTGCTAAGTTTAAAATTGGTCCAAAAATCCCGATATATTTGTGAAATATCATCATATACAGGTATTTTGAGATATAATTTTGTTATAACTTCAGATCACTGTTCAGTATTGTCTACTTTTAATAGCGCTAGCATACAAATCGATGAGCTATGTAGGGATCATAATTGTTACTAAATTTACCAAAATAATTAAAACTACAACTGCTGTTTTCAGAGGTTTTGTTCCATTTTGTCCATATTAATGTACCATTTTATATCGACTAATGTTTACGAATACGTAAGTTAATTATTTAAGCAGCTGTTAGCGTGCGTGTACATGAAATGAACGCTTATAATGTTTATCCATATAAGGAGTTTTTATTTTTAGTTTATCAGCTAGCCCTTATATTTGAATAGCCAAATTCATATTAATGATATTAGGGACGCGAAACTTGTCTTACACGGGAAACTCGTCTGTGAAACTCGTCTGAATATGATTTTGGGACGGATAAATTCAAATTTAAGACGAGTTTCCCGCCGTCTAGATTAGATTTCGGTCTAACTTTCCCGTCCGCTTAGACCGGTAAGTTAGACGGGAAAGTTCGTATGTGAAACTCGTCTTTTCCCGGATTCATATTAGACAAGTTTTCCCGTCTAATACGAGTTTCCCATCTCTAATATGAATTCGGTTAATGTCTGTTAAAACTGCAAGGTTTACACTATTGATCTCATTAAAATCACACAGACCACAACGGTTATACGTATTGTCGGTATTGATTGTTTCTTGACGATAGTAGACGCGTACGCATGCATGTTGTGCTGGCCTCAGAATGACAAAACGTAACAAAGCTTTGCACTATCCTTATTCCGAACACCAACTTTATAACTAAACTCTAATCCCTACCATAACCCTGGCTCGTTATTAAATAACATACCGTAGTAAATAATTTAATCACCATTTCTTAGTCTTTTACTTTTTCGGGACAAGAAAACTACTTGAAAAAGACCAGGGCCAAAAGCGTCAGGGCCGCACATGTAGGGGGAGAAAGGGGGGGCAAAGGGAGCAATTTTCTCCGCGACCCCAGCTCAAGGAGGGCCGGCAAATACAAATTTGCAAGGGGATGGAAAGTCTGTCGATGGAGGGGAGGATGATTGTGGTTTACAGGGGCCCCAAAGGTATAATTGGCCCTGGGCCACCATATTTCACTGGGCTGCGCCAGTAATTCTCCGACGGGGAGAGTCATCGGTGCTCTCTTTCGATCTTTGGCAATTGGCATTAAAAACCGCAAGAATTACCAACAAGTGACCAGGGCCGGATTAACGTCGCGCGAGGCTCGTGGCAGATTTTAGCGCGAGCCGCCCCCCCCCCCGCCTTGTTATAAAATCCTTTGAATTTAAAGACACGCAAAATTGTTAAATAATTGTTTTTCAATATTTCAATTTATTGGCATCAATTATAAACGAGACAATGGCTTGCCTGGCCCAGTTGTTGGGTCAACATGTATAAACAGGATCATAACATAACAGCTCAACGCGACTGGAGATTATATGCACACGAGTATTGCATATTTTCCCAGGGCCGTGCTGGGGCCAACTGCCAAGCCTAGGGGCCCTAAATACGCGTGGTCCATAAATTCGCGAGACACCTAAAATGGGTGTGTCCCAATAGAGAATGGCCGTGTTCTCGTAAAAACGGGCGTGGCACAGTGAAGCGCGAGGAGGCCCCCATAAGCGGGAGGCCCGAGGCATTTGCTCTAAGATTAATAGACAAAGTATATCAAAATAAACTGTAATTTTTCTGATTATTTTAACTGTGCATGAAAGTGAACACACATTAAAAAATTATTTTAAACTATTTGGTATAATTTGAGTTTGAGGTGGTAGAATATATAATAAAATAACAAACATGGGCGTACGGGAAGGAAAAAATTAGGGGGGCGGAAAGAAATTTGCCCGACTTTTTCGGATTGTGCCCGCGTTGTCAAAAAAAATTTTCCGGAGAAACTTTCCAAAATTGTTGTCGACGGGGAGGGGGGGGGGCGGTGGCGGAGGAATGATTACGAAAAATTCCTATCAGATAGCATATTTCCCACAAAATTCACAGAATTTCCCACACGATTGACAGAATTTGTCCCATTTATTTTTATAATAAGCCAATATTGCCCGACTGTAAAGCGAATATTGCCCGATTGGCTTTGTTTGCCCAACAAACTGGGGGGGGGGCTGCCGCCCCCTCCGCCCCCGCCCGGTACGCCCATGATAACAAATCCTTGTATGAATAAATGTTCATTTCACACGCACGCTATTAACAGCTGCTTAATAATTAACTTATGTATTCGTAAACATTTATACTCGATAGTCGATATGTAAAATAATGGTACATTATATGGATCAAACTGGAACAAAACAAAAATTGAAGTTTTAATTTTGGGAAATTTATATATAAATAAATTTATATATAAATTATATAAACCCTAAACAGCTCATCGATTTGTATGTTAGCGCTATTAAAAGTAGACAATATTGAACAGTGATCTGAAGTTATCATGCAACTGACAACAATGTTATATCTCAAAATACTTGTATATGATGATATTTCACAAATATATCGGGATTTTTGGACCAATTTTAAACTTAGCAAGGCAAAAAGTCTCCACTCAAGGATATATCTTCTTCTCAAAAGGTAAAATACTGAGAATACTTGATTAAATTGTTTACTTCGACGGTATGTAAATTAACAGCGTTTGACTTGCAAAACGTCAAAAACGGACGATTTCAACGCGCTGTCGTTTATCGCGTATTCATTTGCCAAAAGAAGTATTTACATCAGCTGAAAGCTTGTTTATTAAGGAGCCAACAAGTAGAAGCATGATCGATTTGGAGCTTTATCGCATGGTGAAAATCGGTTTTGTGAAGAGGGTATCGTAAATGATGTAAGATAGTGTGCTCCAAAACTACGAATATTTCTATTCCTAAAAGTAACTCCGACTTCCTGTAACTCACGTACCCGGTCCTTTGAATAACCAAAAACAAGATTTTTAGGGTTTTAGATCGATTAGAAACGGATGTCGTCGTGAAATTTGTCGGTAAAATCAGCGCATATTTTCCCAGACAAAATGGCGATTTAGGGTGGTCGTGTTAAAACGGCATTTTCTCAAAGATAAAAAAGCATTTGACCTAAAAAAATATATGGTGCATTTTCCGATATAATAAGGTATATCTGGGCAAAATTTGAGCAAAATCGATTTTTCAGTCGTGGCCGCGAAATATCTCATATGTTCGATTTTTACTGACATTCACTCTTAAGTGATGTTGAACCACCGTTCGAATTATTGAAGCAATATCTCCAAATTTCTAACGATATTTTTAGTGAATTTTCAACGTGATAATGATCTTGATTTATGAACTTTGAGAGGTCAAGCAGCTTGTCATAGCTATATTTCTCTATATTTAATACTCAATAATTCTTGAACAATGTAAACTAGCAATATTTTCCTGGAACATAACTTCGGCCGTTTCCGACATATCCTCTTTGTAACAGTCTTGTTCGAATCCTCATTCAAAACACTATTTATAGATAGGCCGTCGCGAGCGGGGGTGTCTGGTGTGGGGGAGCGAGGATCGAGTGTCGGCGCAGTCGGCCCAGTCGGCAAATTGCTTCGTTAAGCTACGTTTACACCAGGGCGCAGTAAAACACGGGCGGCGAAACGAAGATAGCGCCCCTGATCTATGTGTGATGCGCGTACCCCCCCCCCCCCCCCCCC